ATATAGCTAACATATTTGTATGGAGTATACATAAATCTTATAGATAAAGCAAACACATTTGTATGGAATATACATAAATCTTATAGATAAAGCAAACACATTTGTATGGAGTATACATAAATCTTATAGATAAAGCAAACACATTTGTATGGAGTATACATAAATCTTATAGATAAAGCAAACACATTTGTATGGAATATACATAAATCTTATAGATAAAGCAAACATATTTGTATGGAATATACATAAATCTTGTAGATAAAGCAAGCATATTTGTATGGAGTATACATAAATCTTATAGATAAAGCAAACACATTTGTATGGAGTATACATAAATCTTATAGATAAAGCAAACACATTTGTATGGAATATACATAAATCTTATAGATAAAGCAAACACATTTGTATGGAATATACATAAATCTTATAGATAAAGCAAACACATTTGTATGGAATATACATAAATCTTATAGATAAAGCGAACACATTTGTATGGAATATACATAAATCTTATAGATAAAGCAAACACATTTGTATGGAATATACATAAATCTTATAGATAAAGCAAACACATTTGTATGGAGTATACATAAATCTTATAGATAAAGCAAACACATTTGTATGGAGTATACATAAATCTTATAGATAAAGCAAACATATTTGTATGGAATATACATAAATCATTTAGATAAAGCAAACATATTTGTATGGAATATACATAAATCTTATAGATAAAGCAAACATATTTGTAGGGCGTTACATAAATTTATAGATAAACAAAAACACAGTTTACTGGAGTATTTATACATAAATCTTATAGATAAAGCAAACACATTTGTATGGAATATACATAAATCTTATAGATAAAGCAAACACATTTGTATGGAATATACATAAATCTTATAGATAAAGCAAACACATTTGTATGGAATATACATAAATCTTATAGATAAAGCGAACACATTTGTATGGAATATACATAAATCTTATAGATAAAGCAAACACATTTGTATGGAATATACATAAATCTTATAGATAAAGCAAACACATTTGTATGGAGTATACATAAATCTTATAGATAAAGCAAACACATTTGTATGGAGTATACATAAATCTTATAGATAAAGCAAACACATTTGTATGGAGTATACATAAATCTTATAGATAAAGCAAACACATTTGTATGGAGTATACATAAATCTTATAGATAAAGCAAACATATTTGTATGGAATATACATAAATCATTTAGATAAAGCAAACATAATTGTATGGAGTATACATAAATCTTATAGATAAAGCAAACATATTTGTATGGAATATACATAAATCTTATAGATAAAGCAAACATATTTGTATGGATATACATAAATCTTGTAGATAAAGCAAGCATATTTGTATGGAGTATACATAAATCTTATAGATAAAGCAAACATATTTGTATGGAATATACATAAATCTTATAGATAAAGCAAACACATTTGTATGGAATATACATAAATCATTTAGATAAAGCAAACATATTTGTATGGATATACATAAATCTTATAGATAAAGCAAACACATTTGTATGGAATATACATAAATCTTTAGAATAAACAAACACATTTGTTGGAATCATCATAAATCTTATAGATAAAGCAAACGATCCATTGGGGGATGGAGTATACATAAATCATATAGATAAAGCTA